GGCGCCCCGCCGGCCTGGTTCCCGCGGCCGCGTCCTGTCGTGGGGCCTGGGGAGGGGGCGGGCTGTGCCTGGCGGTGGGAGGCTGCTCGCGGGAGGCGCGTTGATGAGTTTGAGAGCGGCTGAGGCGTTACCGCTTGCAAGCCTGCTTTTGGGGAAGGTTGTATTTGCTCAAGCAGTTAACTGGATGTCGGTATTTTAGCGTGCTCTGCAGACGCTGACAATGCCTATAAATCTGGGGGTCTTTTTTTCCGCGTGGTATTTGTGGTGTTCCCACCTCTTGGTGGTCAGTACCAAAGTAATCCTGCAAAGTAACAAGGCTACTTTTCTGGGCAGTGCTCCGCATTTTAAGGCTATATGCTTTGGGTATCTTTAAATAACTCTTTTCTCGCCCTTGCTGAGCAGAATTCTTTGAAAGTAAAATGGAATATGAACCAAAAAACTACACAGAAAATTTAAACACATAAAGGTATTGGAAAAGAAAAAAACCAACACCCAACATTATTTTCTCTGATACTGACGGTGTACAGCGTTGTCTCCTACTGCATTTGTCTCGTTGAATTCACTTAGTGAATTTTTCAGCATATCATTATGATCAGAAAAGGTACTGCTAAGCAGTTTGCATAGGAGATAGTGGAGATACAGGGTATTGCAAGAAGCTACAGGACCTATTTCCTCACCTGTCTATAGTTCCAAATGGTGAACTGCATTCAGAAGTAGCTAGGCATGGATATTCTTTCCAATGCCTTCCAGTGAAACAGGGTTGATTGGTAAATTTGCCTGAATGCTCACGTGTGTTTAAACTGATCTCTGTGGCTCTGCAATTGTGTGGGGGGGAAGAGTAATCTCATTAAGTGTGTCTTGTTAAATCTCTCATCACAAGGGAAGGAACTTGTTAAATTGCATAGAAATTTATTGCAGGAAAGGAGGTCTAATTCTGACCCGTAATTTTTAAGGGCTGTGTGAGGAAGACTGGAGTAACTTATGCAGAGTCAGTGTTGGTAATGATTATCTTTCTCTGCTTAGAAGAATCTGGGATTACAGTAGGCAGGCTTCAGTGGGTAAGCAAACTGCTGTATGTTATTCAGATTTTACAGGAAGATATGTTATGAAGGTTCTCTGTACCTTCAGCAGAGGAGATGTTTTAGAATTTAAAAGTGTATCATGACTTCCCTGCATATTCCAAGCTTCCCAAGTGTTAGATTATGAAGGATGACAGTGTGATGTGATATGATATGTTATGTCTTTTGGGGTGGAGAGGAAACAAACACAAAAAGAAAAAAAAACCAAAACAACCAAAACCAAACAACCACCACCACAACCCACACATTTATCATGTGGGGATAACTAGCTTTTTCCAGTTAGTGCTATAATTATTCAGGCTGGATCATGATGAAGAAATAAGGGTGCTGCTTGAATCATTTATGATCTATTTAACTGTTAAGCCGCTACAGTGCTGCTAATGAAGAGCCAGTTAATAGATTTTGCAAGCAGTAAACTTCCTTCATTTATGTGCTCTGTTATTTTAGGGTATATTGGGGTACATACTTGAGTCTTGAGACAGCAAAAGATTTCATAAAGGCAAACTACATGCTGATCAAATTGGGCATAGATTTTGCCAATGAGCAAGGAAAACCAAAACTAAGTCTTTCCATTACTGGAAAATATGTGGAAAACTTTAAATATTGCTTACTGGATTGGAATGGTGGGATATAGTTTTTTTGTTAAATTTTTCATTCTTTCTAGTTCATCCATAGTATTTATTCAGCACAATGCAAATATAGTTATTAATTCAAGAGTTGGAGTATAAAACACCTGTTGTAATTCAGTGCCTCAAATAACTGCTGTTTCTGTTCATGACTCTGAACTGATTATCATATATGTTTAGTCTTAACAGGGGTTTTACTGAAATGCACTGTATGAGTGGCCACTCAAATTTTGTATCTTGTGTGTGCATCATACCTCCAAGTGACCTCTATCCTCGTGGGCTGATTGCAACTGGTGGCAATGATCATAATATTTGCATTTTCACAGTTGACAACCCAGCTCCTCTTTACATCCTTAAGGGTCATAAGAACACAGGTATGTAGTCATTTTATTTTGGAGTTTGTTGCATAAAAGTTAATGTGATTTGCTGGAGAGGAAATTAAGTTCAAGTTTTAAAACTCAGTTTTGATTTCTTTGGTATTTAACATAGCAAACTATTTAATTATGGCCTCTGCAAATAGGATTTTATAATCTCCATTTGTGCAGTGACAGTTCATTGCAAGGACTTCCAAGTTTACACTGATGAATGCTTGAGCTTTTACTGTATATGTGAACACATTGCAATTTACAGAATGATTATCCTTTTCCCAAGAGTTGGATTTTTAAGAAGCAGTTCTCCATGTATTAAGCATATTTAATGCCAGAGTTGCTATAAGTAGAAAAAGTCAGCTTCCTAAATAAACAGACTTTCGCTGCCCATTTTGTTACAAAGATGGGGATCTAATATTAATTGGTGCTTTAAATATGTGGTAAAGAGTAAAAGCTCATTATGGAAATTTCATCTTTCTCTAGTCAGGTCAGTGCAGCATGTGACATATTAAACCAACTTTATCTACCTTTTCTTGAGGTATATAATGAGATTCAGCAATTTTCATGTTAGCATACTAAGTTTTTCTTTTTGTGACTGTCCTGGTTTCAGCTGGGCTAGAGTTAATTTTTTTTTCTAGTAGCAGCTGTGTTTCAGATTTGCTATGAAAGGAATGTCAATAATGCACATTGGTTTTAGTTGTTGCCAGGTGATGTTTATATTTTTCAAGGACTTTTTTCAGCTTCCCATAGAAGTTGATATGGAGCATAGATAGAACAATGGAATAGCCAAAGGAATATTCTGTACCGTAGATGTCATGCTCAGTATATAAATGTGGTTAGCTGGGTTGGGGGGGTACTCACAATCGCTGCTTGAGAAGGTACCAATTCACCGAGTGGTTAGAGTGACTTGTGTCATTATTATTATTATTTTCCTTTTCTGTTACTGTTCTATTAAACTGTCTTTATCTCAACCCGTGAGTTCTTTTTTCCCTTTCCCCTCCTTTTCTCTTTCTTCTACCTGCCCTTTGGGGAAGGGGGAGAACTGCACGAGTGGCTGCTGGCTGGGGTTAAACCACGACAGTGAGCTGATTTAGTATTTAATCGACCTTTCAAAAGTCTAATCATGTAATTATACGGTATCGAGAATAAACATTTCAAGTCTTGGAGGTTTTGGGGCTTTTTTTAACTGTGTTAAAGAATGGTTGTGGAGACCAGTTTGAAAATACCCTGGACTGCCAAACAGCACCTAAAATATGTGTTTGTATTGTAAAGCTCTTGTCTTTCTCTAAGAAAGAAAGAAAATGTCACTGTGAAAGGAGGCATGGAATAACTTACATACTTTATCAGAAACCTGGGATGCATGAGTAGTTAAAGTAACATGACATGCTCCCACCAGAGGTGTAAAAAGGGATGAGGTATTCTAGACAAGTTACAGATTTCCCTATCAGACCATAAATCCCTTTTATGAACTATTAGACGGACAGGGTACTTTCTGTTTATGACTTAGGTCTTTTTGTAAACTTATTAGTAAACCTTATTAGTACCCTGTGTCTTCTTTGGTTTTATACCTGTGTATTACTGTGTATTTGCAGATTATCTTTTGCTAAATCTTTAAATGCCACCATTTCTTGGTGGTAGTATTTTGCTTTCCAAGAAGATGACCTAAGTATTTTTTCTACAAAATCTTGCTTCATGACGACATAAATTAATACATCTTGATTAAATCTTGGCTTTCTCTGTAATCTTAAAATTAAAACTTTGCATTAATTCTGTGTCTTGACTAGTTATTTAACCTGCTTGTCAACGTATTCTAGTCTGAGGAGAAGAGATCTGGTACTAAGACGAATTTAAAAATATGAATGGCAAAAAAATGTGAAATTTTGTTATCTAAAGTGAAGAAATTTTTAAGCAGCACCTTTCTAGGTTGCAGTGCAACTACAGTTCCACTTAACTTACCCCCAAACTCCTCAACACTAAATACACAACTAATACCAAGTAAATCTCCTTAAATAAATCACTTTAAATTTCTGGCATAAGATTGATGGCAATGCAGGAAACTTGCCAGTGCTGATTGGAATGTTCATTCCAGTTTGCAGCCTTTCATCTGGGAAGTTCGGCACATTGTTAAGTGGATCATGGGATACAACAGCCAAGGTCTGGTTGAATGACAGATGTATGATGACGTTACAGGTATGAAGTTCCTCTACATTAATATAAATTAGGTACTCTCACTTTGATTCTGACAAGTCTAATAGTGTTGGGATTTTGCAGGGTCACACAGCTGCAATATGGGCAGTGAAAATACTACCTGAACAGGGATTAATGTTGACTGGTTCAGCTGACAAAACTATTAAACTGTGGAAGGCAGGCAGATGTGAAAGAACATTCACTGGTAAGTGTTGCTGCAGTTGGTAATTTCATCAGAGTCATGTGTTCTTTTAAAAGGAGAAAAAAATTAAAACTCCACAAAACCGTAGATAAATTGAACAATTTTTACGCAGGATTTTTAAAGTCTCTCAAGTTGTATGCACAGGAATCACATCACTTTTAAAAGAATGATATTTTTTTTCAGATAATAATGAGCAATGAGTTGCCTTTGTTGTTGTTGTTTTTTTTTTTTTTATAACACCTCCCATAATGAAGATTGCTTGCCAGGATTTAGATGTGAGCTAAATAGAAATGGTATACTGCTGCTAATGGAAAGAAAAGTTGCATTAAAAGTCTTCCTTTCTTTTATAAAGGACATGAAGATTGTGTGAGAGGTTTAGCTATTCTCAGTGAAATGGAATTCCTTTCCTGTGCTAATGATGCTAGTGTACGAAGATGGCAGATATCTGGCGAGTGTCTGCAGGTGTATTATGGACATACAAATTATATATACAGCATCTCTGTCTTCCCTCAGTGTAAAGGTAGGATTATTTTTGTGACTTTTACTGAACATTCTTCCAAAATGAAATGACAAGGTAGGCATTCTGTAGTTCTGTGGAGCTCTTAGAACTAAAGAACTCGGGTAGCATTTAATTGACTTCTTTTCTTCGCATAAATAAATAGAAGAAAATAAATTGTGATTGACTCCAAATCACACCTCCAGCAGAATTACTCTGGCAGTAGGGGAGCTGAAAGGTCCTGGGTTAGGCCTACTTGTAAGGCTTAAGTGAAATTTCAGCAAAGCAATAGGCAAAAGTATCATCTAGGTTGCCACTTGTATTTCAGCACTGTTGCAGAGTACTAAAATGGCAGTGTGTGGCTTACCAGTTTGAGATAATACAAATTTAGGTGCTTCCACAGAAAGTTTTCAAAATATATTATAAGTAGTTTAGGTTAACAATTTTATGTGTAGGGCTTAATTGCATTTGTTTTCAGAGTTAGAGGTTTAGAGATTCAAAACTAATTGTTGCAGAAGAAATGCCAAGTCAGTGACCTTTGTGTGGTGTATGGGACATGTGCGCATTTGTTCAACAGGTAAATTGCATGTATATTAGTGGAGGTGTGTGTTGTAAATCTCTTATACCTTAAAATTCCTCATTGAGGAGTTTACAGACTTCAGATCGTGCTTTATGCGCGTTTCCTGAAAAAGCAGGCCTACCTTGAAAGTATAGTGTAAGATAAAACAGCGATGGTTACAAAATTGTTCAAAGTTTTTTGTTTAAACTCTTGAAAGGAGGAAGGAATCTTTTGTTTGTCTTGAGTGTAATTTCATTTCCTGTCTGGCTGCTTAGTCCACAATTTATGCCTTTTATTTTTTTTGAGAAGACAACTATGCGGTGGTTTTCTTTTAGCTCTCTTCTTGCAACTGAGAGAAGTATTAAATTGTAGAAAGGTTCTTCTGTTCTAATTTTTAGATACCTGGTTGCAGAATGGCAGTATCCCAGTATCTAGTATCACAATACACTAAAAATATGCTTAAAAAATTTTTATTACTTTTTCTTTTCAGATTTTGTAACTACTGGAGAGGATAGATCTCTTAGAATCTGGAAACAAGGAGAATGTGCTCAAACTATAAGACTCCCAGCTCAGTCTGTATGGTGCTGCTGTGTATTAGACAATGGTGACATCGTAGTTGGTGCAAGGTATTCGGGTTTTACTCTCAGTGTATTTTTAATTCTGAATCTGCAAACCCATGATGAAATTGTATGCATCACTTTGGATATCAGTTTCATCTATATTTAAAAATACAGCCATCAAAGTGTGCCTCTGGATTAAATTTAAATATGTGCTACACTTAATCCAAAAAGTCGTTTTTTTGTTATGTGAATTGCAAAGGTAGAGCGAGTTCTTTGGGAATGTGGTAAACCATGAATAGGCTGAGAAGGGACTTAGAAATACTGTAGAAAGAACCCTTTTGATAGGCATCTCCTACCTTGGTTTTAAAATTTTACTATAGATAGGGTTAACTGTTAAGTCCTTCTCTGGGTGTTTTTAGCATGAGAGCGAATTCCTTTCATAAAAATAATTGGGAGGGGTTGTTAGAAATAATAATGGTTTCTGATGACATAGAAGTCACCATTAGAATGTATGGATTAATTTTGACATTTAAAATAATATTTCTGTTTTAATGTTTTCTCTCCATTCAGTGATGGAATTATAAGGGTGTTTACAGAATCTTTGGAACGTACAGCAAGTGCTGAGGAGATTCAAGCTTTTGAAAATGAGCTTTCCCAAGCATCCATTGACCCAAAAACTGGTGATTTAGGAGATATTAATGCTGATGACCTTCCTGGAAGAGAACATCTTAAGGATCCTGGTAAATTACTGTACTTTTGTCAGGTTAGAGATAAAGAAGTATTGAAACTTTCCATAGTTTCCAAAATTAAAGCTTTGATCACTTTCAATAGAGTTACTGAAGAAAACAGCTTAATTTTGCTCTAGTATCCTTTCATTGATTCTTTTGAAGGCAATGCTCTAGTTTAAATATATATATTTTTTTTTTCGTAGACTAAAATGGTAAAAAATACTTCTCTTATGAGAGTTTAGAAGCAGGTGGAATTCAGGATGCTGTAGTCCGAGATACTTGAGATCTCTTAAGCCAGCTATGCCAATAGTCTGTGAGACAGTTACGTAATTTGCAAAAGGACTACTGAATGTGGAATTGTTTTCCTAAAAGAAAAATAGATGCAAAGTTTCTGCTTTAGTTTTTGGCTTGAAAAAATTTGTCTTGATTCAGTTTACACTTTCGAGGTACTCGGGAGATTACTGAGAATACAGTGGAAGCAGTGGTAGTTAAGATTACTCTTAAATAGACAAATACTTTTTCCCAAGGCGAAGTAACCAATGACCTCAGCCCTTGGCTCTGATCAGCAAGTGGCATAAGTCTTACAATCATATGAAGCTTCCCATCGTGTTAGACCATGGGAGAATATCAACTTTGTTGATTGTCATCTGTCTGGGAAAATGGTAAACTTTTGAAATACTTAAGGATTGCTTTTGCAACTTAGTCTGGTGGCAGATACCATTACCGTAATTGTAAAATGCTGTTGTCAAGATTTCTGCTAGTCTTGTTGCGATATGTAGTATCTAGTTACTTACTGTGCTGTGACTTTAAATGTTGGTGAACTATCTTTTCATCTTTAAATAAGAGCGCTTTTTTCTCTCCTGAAGTAAAGTGTCTTCTTGAATTTGTTCAAACTCTTAAACACTCCTGTCTACAGGAACAAGAGATGGACAGACACGGCTTATTAAAGATAATGGCAAAGTAGAAGCATATCAGTGGAGCGTTAGTGAAGGAAGATGGATAAAGATTGGTGATGTTGTTGGTTCTTCTGGAGCCACACAACAAACATCTGGAAAGGTTTTATTTGAAGGAAAGGTATCTGCAAACTTTAATTGTTTTTATTCCTCCCTAAGTAAAATGCTTAATTTCCCATTAAAAGTTTATTCCAGTCTCTGCTCAGATAAAATAAAATTTTAGAAAATAGGTATTTGTTGGTACTTTTTTGTCATCTTTGATCTATTAAAACACAGAGGTAGAAGTACTACTTGCTTTATTACTTTTGAAACACGCATCGTAAAACAAGCAAGTCAATGGAGACAAATTATTTTGGAGAAGAGTAAACTATTAGTAGAGAAATTACCAAGTTCTCTAGTATTTATTGATAATATATTGAAAAGTTAGTTTTAATTTCCTTTCCAAAGGAAGTGAACCATAGGGTTTATAATGCAAGGCTTACCTAAAATATTAGGTACCAGGCTTTCTATACCCCTCTTCTATAGTAATTTTTGAACCTAAAGACAGGTAAGATGAAAAATATTTCCTTTACTGAAATATGCGTAGAGAAGTCTCTGTCTAGTGCCACCATAGAAGTAATGCCTTTGAGACACTAATTTTATCTCTCACATGGCTTAAAGAAAGCCTAGGAGTTTGTTGGGTTTGTTAGTATTAGAAGTGTGCACTCCCCTGCATTGCAGGCAGGCAGAGCTGTCCATGAGAGTTACCTGATGCATCTGTTATTTTGTAATATATCTGCGCACACATTATCATGGTATGTTGTTTTAGCGTGCTGTTCTTGAGAGAGAGAATTCTGTAAAACAAAGGATATGGTTTAAGTATTTTTTACTTGCCGCCTGTGTAGGAGAGTATTACTGAGACAATCCGCAAGTAGCGGTATTAAAGTTTTCAGGCTTAGCCCTGGGCTGTTATTAGTCTGCATTTCATACATCCAATGTAAAAGGTCTGATAAACTTGTAATTTGTTTTCATTTTTAATCTGCTTAAAGGAATATGACTATGTTTTCACTATTGATGTAAATGAAAGTGGGCCTTCCTACAAACTGCCATATAACATCACTGAAGATCCTTGGCTGACTGCATACAACTTTCTGCAAAAGAATGATCTCAATCCTATGTTTCTGGATCAAGTGGCCAAGTTTATTATGGACAACACTAAGGGGCAAACGCTGTTGAGTACAAGTGCTCAATTTTCAGATCCATTTACAGGTAAAAGTTATAAACTTAAATGATGACATCAGTCGCTCCTCCCAGTTTTGTGTCATCAGCAAACTCGCTGAGGGTGCACCCTGACCCATCTTCCAAATTGTTAATGAAGATGTTGAAGAGGAGTGGATGCAGTACTGACCCCTGGTCAGCAGCTGATCTCCAACTAGATGTTGTGCCACTGATCACCACCCTCTGGGCCTGGCTGTTCAACCAGTTTTCAGTCCACCTCACTGTCTGCTCAGGCAGATTTCAGTGTTGTAGCTCCTGCATTTTTGCAGAACTTTCATGTCCTCAAACGACTGAGGGCAAGGCACAGATAGATCTGACAAAAAAATACGAAAACTTGACAAACTTGTTAAGTATTTGTCAGAACAAATCTTCAACAAAATCCTAACCAAGCCAGTTGTATTTTTCAGTCTAGTCTTTTACCAGTGGAAGAAAACTTCACTTTTCATATTACTCTAAGAGGTGGCTAAGGTGCTGTTAAGGCAATTAATAAAATACAAAAATCTAGCTGGAGAATGAACTGAAACTGAGTGAAATATAGAAGTGACCCTTTTTCAGGGAGGATATGGAACTAGAACAAGTTAATTGCTCATAAGCTGAATCATGTTAATCAATTACATCCTGCTTATCACATTTACAAAATAACCAGTCTTATTTCAACTAGTTTCACAAATATGAAGTTAGGAATAAAATGTCATTAAAATAATTGGGATAAATCATTTTCTTGCAATGAGCTAAAAATGAGACTACAGGCTAATCAGGTTCAGATTTAACTCATGGAGCTGCAGTCACGTGAACTTATGCACATACTTTTGATTTGGCTGTGTCCAAACGTGTAATGCATATGCTCCAGACAACAAATTTCTGACCCTCAAATAATGAGGAAGAATTTGTTCAGCATCAGGGGACATTTGCATGGATAGGATCAGCTTTCTTATAATGTCACAATCAACAAGATTTATTTGATGTTTGGCTTTATTTTTGAGCTGCTACTGTCTGAAAACTACTGACATTTTAATAACATCAAGCTGTGCATAGTAGTCATTGCTTTGTTTTACGGTTTCACTAGGTGCTGGACGTTATGTTCCAGGTTCTTCATCTGGACCAAGTACAATACCTGCAGCAGATCCATTTACAGGTAATGTAAAATTCATAATCTGTCTTGGTGTCATTTAAGATACATATTTTATCATGTTCAGTTGCATTCAGGGTTTAGTTCCAGACCACCGTTTCTTGCAGTTCTCCATTTGGGGCAGTAGTGTGGGACAAACCAATAAGGTGGACTCTGCCACTGCCAAAGCATGTCCAGATCTGTTTAAGAGAGCCCTCTGCTGTCTCATCTGCCTCATGTCACTCTGTGCTCTACAGCAGAGAAGTAAGGTCTTAGACCTTACGTTTTGTCGAACTCTGAGGCATAGCCAACACAGGAATGAGTATCTTCATAGCAGTAGTTTTATTTTTTTCCTTATTATTATTTCTTTTTTCTTATTACATAATCTTTATTGGTACCTTCCACCTTAAATTTTAGTTTCTGACCCTCCCTGACATTGCTAGTTTAAAGTCCTCCTCACTAGATTAGCAAGCTCGTTTCCTGCTCTGCCAGACTTATCCCATCCCTGATCAGTAGCTCTTGCTTCTCAAAGAGGGTCCTGTAGTCATTGATGCTGAAGTCCTGCCTGCAAAACAGGCCATGCAGCGAGCTGCTGAGCCACTTGATGAGCCCACTTCTCCTCAAAGAATTTTTGCTTTGCTGGCAGCATCAAAGAAACACTACCTGGGCTCTTCATGCTTACCTCCAGAGCTCTCTAGTCACTCTAGATACTCTCTAGGACTTCCTTGGCAGTATCAATGATGCCCATGTGGAAGAGGAGCAGGGTAATTACCTGAAGGCCAGGCAACCTTTGGCCACAAACAGGGTCCATCTCCCACACAAGAGGCCTCTGCTAGCCCCAGGCACAGTGAGAAGCCAGCCCTGGGCAGTGGTGCTGTCCCCCTGTAGCTTGTCATGGATAAGGTATCTGCTGTGCTGAGGGCCTTTGCGTCAGTGTGTGCCAGAGACATGCCAGCATGTCTCCCAGCTGTGTGACACTGAGCTTGCGAATGCCATCGTCACCATGAGCACCACCCTCACACATAGGCATAGATTTTAATCCTTAAATTTCAGGAAGTGTTGAAGACTTCTCTTTAATTCCTTTAGTGCAAAATAACACCTTTAATAGTGAAGTTTGAAAACTTGTAGCTAAATACAGGTATACATTATCTCTACCAGTGCTGGTGTTTAAAAAGCCTAATGTCTCCATTCAGGTGCTGGTCGCTATGTTCCTGGTTCAGCATCAAATGCAATTGCTCCGGGGGGTGGGGTTGATCCATATACAGGTAAGAGATGATGCCTGCCAATGAAAAGCATCTCTGATCTTTTGCTTCAGTTTTTCCTTTGACATGGATTCTATATCGATGCAAATTTATACTTAATTAAAAATAATAAGCAGATTGAAGCTGCTTATACTCTTGAAATTATTGAGAAAAATAGGCATAACAGTACCTTCCTTTACGTGCAGCAATTATGCCCAGAAGTTTTAAAATATATGATAGTAATCTGTTTTTCTAGAGGATTTTTGGTTTCCTAGTAGTTATGTTGTTGATCAAAGAAACTGATATATGTTGTTAATGGAAATTACACAATATCGGCCTCTGATTGTAGGAAATTATTAAAGGTCGTGATTAAAGCTTTTTATTACTCTCTTTTTAGAAAGATTCCAGGCTGCTATTGCGTGTGACATAACTTGGTCAGATCTGCAAGTCTTCCTGTATATAAAAACTTTGCCTATTCATTATGAAAATAATCCAAAGATAAGATTTCAGGGGCAAGAGGGATCTCTGTTCTAAAATGACTCTTGCCATTTTCATGTCTTAACTGCAATACCCATTCTTATGAATGACTGTGTATTTAGTTCATGTAATTCAGAAATCACTGTTAATAGTTTACAATTCTACAGTAAATTTTTACATGGAAAGAGAACAGTTTGTGAAAGTATTTCTTTAAGCGTTAACCCTTGAATGTAAAAATAATGTAAGGAACAACAGCTATTTGCATAAGCATTCAGGTTTTTAAAAAGG